TTTTTGGGGTGGCAGGGGAGGGGTGGTCGTAGAGCTAGAATCTGTAGCTTAAGCTTTCTTGTTAGTTTTGAAAAATTCTTAACCAGTATCTCTATTATTGCTCCTGAGTTATCCTCTCTCCTCTTTTTCTTGACTCCAAATACATTTATGTTAGACCTTTTCACAATGTCTCATGTGTCTCTTTTGCTCTTTTCTGTATTTTTAAACATTTTTTCTCTGCATGCTTCAATATGTTCATTTTCTACCAGTCTTTCAGTTCACCAATCCTATCTTCTGATTTTCTAATCTGTTCCTTTATCCATCTATTAAGTTCTTATAAATTTCAATTTTTGCATTTTTCAGCTCTAGAGTTTCTACTTTTAAATAGATGCTATATTTCTGGTGGAATTCTTGAACATACTGATCATAGTTATTTTAAATCCTGTCTCATAAGGCCATTTTCTGAATCACTTATGGATCTGTTTCTGGTTTTGCTTTGGTTTTATCTTCTTGGCTTTTGGTCATTTGGTACTGTTTTCTGGTTTGTCTTATCAATTTAATTCAATGCTGGACATTGTGTATGGAAAGTATGGAGGCTTTAGATGAAGCTAAGTTTTTCCAGATCTCCGGACACGCAGGGTCAGCGGCCATGGCTCACGGGCCCAGCCGCTCCACGGCATGTGGGATCCTCCCAGACCGGGGCACGAACCCGCGTCCCCTGCATCGGCAGGTGGACTCTCAACCACTGCGCCACCAGGGAAGCCCTCCAGATAGGTTTTAATTTTTTTTTTCTAGCAGTCATATGGCATATAGGCAGATCATCTTGATGCAGTGAAGACTGAGCTATTTTTGATTTTTCTTATTCCCAAGGCATAGCCTTTCCTGAATAACTGGGTATTTATCAGGTCCCATTTTTCTTAGACTCTGATTCTTTCCTTAGCATTGTGAAACTGACAAAATCTCTTCTTAGCTTTTTAGCCTGTTACCAGATGCTTTCTGCTAGGTTTCCTGGAATGTAACTCATCTGCAGGGACTTGGCAAATTATTTGAGGGGACACTGCATGCAGAATTTCAACACATTTTCCTTCTCTCTGGCACCGTGGCCTCTCAAGTCCTATCTAACTTGGTTGCTTTCTCATGCTTTCTAGTGGTTTTTTTTTCTCCTCTTGTAGTTGTTCTTAGTAAGAGGGTTACTCAGATACCAGCTCCATCATGGCCAGAAGTGAAAGTCTCCCTTCACATTTTATTTTATAAATCCAAGATTCACTTACGTTTAAAATGTTATGAAATAGTTTGGACATACAAAAAGGTATAAAGAAAAACATAATCAACACCCACGGTAGCTTCACTCAGTTTTACCAAACTGTTGAGACCCCTGGAGGCCCTCACTTCATCACATCCCCTCCCTGTCTACGCTCTTCAGGATTTGATGTTTTTCATTCCCTTGGATTTCTCTGTATATTCAGGACACATGTATATTCACCCAAACAATATATAGAGCTGCTTTACATGGTGTTAAGTGTGACACAGATGGTGTTATTATGCCTGTGTTCTTTTCTAATTTTTCTTTTGCTCCAGGAAGAGTCATTTGCTTTGTGGGTTTTTTGGTTGGTTTTTTGGTTGGTTTTTTGGTTGTTCTTGTTTGTTTGTTTTTTCTGTAAGAGTCATTTGCTTTGTTGCGTGAAGCTATGATTCATTTTCACATTGAGTGATTATACCATAGTTTATCTTTCCATTCTCTTGCTTATGGATATTTAGGTTGTTTCCAGTTTTTCAATATTAAAATCGATGCCACTATAAACATTTCTGCCTATGCTTCTTGTACACACGTGTCAGTGTTTCCTTGGTAGTATACCTCACAGTGGAATTGCTGGGTCTTAGGGTAAACACTTGTTCAAGTTTATTAGACCATGCCAAACTATTTTCCAGACTAGTATTAATTTACATCTCCACTAGCTGTAAATGAGAGTTCCCATTACGTTGTGTCCTCAGCAACATTTGATGTTGTCAGACTTTTAGTTTTTACTAATCTGATAAAATTTAAATGGCATATTATTGTGGTTTTCATTTGCATTTCTCTGTTGACTGTGAAGTTAAGCACTTTGTGTTCTCCGTAGTACCTGCTTCCATTTGTTTTTTGTTTTTTGTTTTTTTTTTAACATCTTTATTGGGGTATAATTGCTTTACAATGGTGTGTTAGTTTCTGCTTTATAACAGAGTGAATCAGTTATACATATACATATGTTCCCATATCTCTTCCCTCTTTGTCTCCCTCCCTCCCACCCTCCCTATCCCACCCCTCCAGACAGCCACAAAGAACCGAGCCGGTTTCCCTGAGCCATGCGGCTGCTTCCCACTGGCTATCTACCTTACGTTTGTTAGTATATATATGTCTATGTCTCTCTCTCGCCCTATCACAGCTCACCCTTCCCCCTCCCCATATCCTCAAGTCCGTTCTCCAGTAGGTCTGTGCCTTTATTCCTTTTTACCCCTAGGTTCTTCATAACATTTTTTTTTCTTAAATTCCATATATATGTGTTAGCATATGGTATTTGTCTCTTTCTGACTTACTTCACTCTGTATGACAGACTCTAGGTCTATCCACCTCATTACAAATAGCTCAGTTTCATTTCTTTTTATGGCTGAGTAATATTCCATTGTATATATATGCCACATCTTCTTTATCCATTCATCCGACGATGGGCACTTAGGTTGTTTCCATCTCCGGGCTATTGTAAATAGAGCTGCAATGAACATTTTGGTACATGACTCTTTTTGAATTCTGGTTTTCTCAGGGTATATGCCCAGTAGTGGGATTGCTGGGTCATATGGTAGTTCTATTTGTAGTTTTTTAAGGAACCTCCATACTGTTCTCCATAGTGGGTGAACCAATTCACATTCCCACCAGCAGTGCAAGAGTGTTCCTTTTCTCCACACCCTCTCCAGCATTTATTGTTTCTACATTTTTTGATGATGGCCATTCTGACTGGTGTGAGATGATGTCTCATTGTAGTTTTGACTTGCATTTCTCTAATGATTAATGATGTTGAGCATTCTTTCATGTGTTTGCTGGCAGTCTGTATATCTTCTTTGGAGAAATGTCTATTTAGGTCTTCTGGCAGGCAGATTCTTAACCACTGAGCCACCAGGGAAGCCCCATCAGAGTCTTAAGCAGGGAATAGTATCTCACTAAAATTCAATTATTGTCTTTTGTTTTCCTTGTATTTAGTTTTTACATTTCACTGCATTTTGTTTTATGGTAGGTTGATTGCTTTGTTTAAGAAACACTTATATAACATCTGCTATATGCCAGGCACTGTTTCAAACCCTTTACAATCATTGACTGGGGAATGATACACAGCTGTGGGGAAAAAATACACAACTATGTGCATTATTGCTTAGGTTGAAGTTGGAGTTAAATTTTTAATAGGGTCTGTTTATAGAAAGTATATTAAATAAATAATAGTACACATGATCTACAAATATGGCCAACTTTTGGAAAATGAGACATTTGGGGACCTCTTGGGTAGATCACTCAGGGAGTCCGTCCATTCTGATGCTTTAAAAGCCTGTATCCATCACTGTTTCTTGAGTGTTTATGTGCCAGGGGCTATGCCAGGGGCCCAGTGATTCTATAAATGGAGTCTTTGAATCCTCACAAGAATCCTGGAAGCAGGCTTTACCATCTTTACCTCTAAGGCTCAGGGAGGGGAAGTGAACAGCCGAGAGCCACACAGCTGAACCTCTCCGTGCCCTGCACCACTGCCTGCCTGGTGACTTGTTTGGGAGCTCAGAGGAAGCTCCCGGCAGGGCCAGAGTAGGCTCTGGGGGAAGCCGGGTTCAGGGATGGAGTCCGGAAGAAGCCATGTGTGTGACCTGGTCCCTGCACGGGTCAGCCCTCTGGGCTCCTGTTCCAGCTACACCCCTGTCCATGGGCTCTATCTGGGTAGGGTTCTTGGGACCCACTGGCTTCTGGCTGGTACCTCCCCAAGTAGACACAGAGCTGGGGGTGCAATGGACAAAGTGCCAGCAAGAGCCTGGCATTGCCAGCCTGGTGGGTTGTTCTTCTGCCCAAGGTA